ACGGTCGATGGAGTTTATCACATCAAAAATTGCCTGTAGCAAGTATTGTTTGTCTTCTTCCTCCATTTTGAAAATATAATGAATGAGCCCGCAAACAACAAAGACGTTGGATTGCGGTTGGGTATCAAAAGTTGGTGTTCAAAAAATAAGTTGTGTTTTCAACATCAAAAGTTGGTCTTTAAAAAATAAGTTGTGTTTTCAACCGATAAACTGGTGATCTTCAAAAACAATGATGTTATTTTAATAAAATGAATATGATCATCAAAATATGATATAGTGAAATGCAAAAGTTGATTTTTGGCGGACATGGGACACCATAGGAACCAATGTTTGAAGTCTGAAGTCCCTACCCGGCTTTCGTAATTTTCTGTTATCACTATGAACCGGTAAAGACTTAAATGGAAAAGACTTTATCTCAAACAAGACTAACAAAAGTTACATGATTGGGTGAATTTTCAAACCGATATTGTTGTAAAAATGGGAAATAACTAAGCAAGACAACTTTGCCGGTGAATTTTCGCTGTAAGATGTAAGTTAAAACTACAATTGTCTCGAATACTTTTATGTATATTATTAAAAAGTTATAGCATGGTTTCTCGTGAAATTTGGATATAACATGCGCTCGTGAGTTTTTCAAAAACCTCAAATAACACTCGCTCTTCGAGCTCGTGCTATTTTGAGGTTTTGAAAAACTCACTCGTGCATGTTATATCCAAATTGCACTCGAAACTATGCTATAACCTATACAAATAATCTCTGCTGCACCTTCTGGAATGCTTTAAGATTAATAATTTTTCGAAGTATGAATATAACACCATATATTCTCTGAGAAATTTAATGTTAATTTTAAAGGCCATTGGCAACCAAAATTTTATTGCTTATATCTATTAGGTATACTTGCGGAATACTTAATTTTATATTTTGGCCGGTTTGTCGCGTTTAGTTGTTGAGAAAATGTAATAAAAAGTTCAACAGTAGTCCGCCATTTTGAAAATAAACACTTATGCCACAGCATACATTATCTGACGTCATTAGATGGGTAAACACAATTTCACGACTATAAAACAATACCGAGTATTACCACGCGTAGTGCACTTTGAGCCAAAACCAAGGGCAGAAACGTTTTACCAAGTATGTACCTTATTTGTAACATTATTTCTCCTAGGATATATCCTAATCCGTGTTAAATAAACGCGGAAATTCGAGTATAAACAAGGCAAACTCTAATGCAATATTTTATGATCAATTACCTGTATTGTAAATTGCGCCATTCCTTACTTTCCCAATCGCTCAATATGTTTTTATTTGATGGTGTAGACTTCTCGCGTAGACTTCTCGACCAGTACTGAACGTTCAAAACGACATATTCTTAGCTAACACGACACGCACGCAATATAATTCTTTCTTGTAGTTTTGGTGCTACCCATGTAATGACGTCACAAAATTCGTTGAAGGTCATTTTTTCCAAGATGGCGGCGACACACAAAGTTTGCATGCATTTTACGCGTACAGTAAAATGTTCGAGAAGGAAATGATAATATTTTCATAGTTAGGTTGTCAAGTAGGATTGAAATAGCCAATAAAAATTTTCGTTGCCATTGTCCTTTAAAAGTACCGAAGTTCATAGTAAATTTAGTAAACAAGCCTGACTAGCCGTGCTTTGGTGCTTGTTGCATATTTCAAAGGTATATAATTTCACTTTTATTGATTTGTTTTCAATCTTAAACGTTTACATTTTGTCTTGAATATCGGTTTCTGTAGGAAAAATATGTCTATTAGCTTGGTAATGCATAAAATATGAAATAATGCCAAATTGTAGTAACTAGTTTTCGAATCGGTCAATACTTTGGATAATAATTTGATGTTCTCTAAAACGTGTTTGATTGTTTAATGCAGCAAAATCTGTCGAAATGCAAGAATGCTGCTACGGCCAGAGGCCATGCAGTGGTGGGCCAATTGTCAGTGGTGTGGGACTAACTTGAAGGGTCCGGTGGAGCAAATGGCCTACCAGTTTGCTACTTAAAATATGCCTCGTGGTCATTAATGTGTACATGTGTCACTGTAATTAATGAATTGATTTTGAAGTGGTATTTAACTATTATATAATTCCTTACAAATAAAATTAACTACTGTAATTTCGAATTTTCCATATATTTTGCACATTCGCTGGTACTTGTTCTATTTTTGCTAAGTTACACATGTGTTAATTCCTCTTTTTATACTGAAAGAACTGTGTGGCATGAACAATTGCATGCGCTAATGGTTACTGATTATATCTCACTGTTCTGAAAATAATATATGTTCGACAAAGTATATATATGTTTACTAATTTATGTTTGTTATGATTACTTCTTATGATTACTTCCTATGATTATAATGTTCTTTTAAATAAATTGTTGTTTAACTGATTTAAGTACAACAGCAAGTGTTGCATACAAAGTTTCTAAACTGTGCCATTATTTTGATGACCAATATTTTCATTCTTCGTTGCAAGAAATTCGTTGAGGCTTTGATCACTGAGTGGTTGCCAAGCTAAGCAAGACGAACATCCATCATCACGCTCATCAGCTGCTGCCACGTGACCTGGGAGACCTTTTTTCATAACTTGCACCTCCATTTCATCCAAGAGTACAGCATTGGAAGTGAAGAAGAAGTTGATAACCCATGCAATCCAATTTCCGTGACAGATCTCTATCCCACAAAATTTTTCGGAATTAATGTCGAAGCCATCACTCTTTTGGAGAAGGAGACTTCTTGATTCCATCACGATTAAAAGTAACGCGACAACGTGAGATTTCCAATCATATCCGTAGCTGATTAACAGGAAGATCCCGATCAGGATCATTAAAACGGAGAGGACCGATATCAAGTTGGCACAAATTCTGAACGCTCGGCTTGCGTAAAGGTTTTGAGTAAATTTAATGTAGCTGCCATTGTGATAATTGGGACGACGGTAGATACAATACAAGAGCAGTACCAGAAGGTATCCTATAACGGACGTAAGACGAGTTGTGTGAGTAATAGAGCACTTAGTATACCTGTCACCTAATCCTAGCCCAAACCCTTACCTAAGGGTTCCTTACCTAATCCTAGCCCAAACCCTTACCCTTACCTCAACCTTAACTCTAATCCTAACCTTAACCCTATTTCTAACCTTAAACCAAGTCGTGCAACAATCGGTTGGGCCAACAATGTCGCAAGGTTTTGGATGAAAATTTTAGGCAAGTTTAAACTCAATCCAACAGTATCCAATGTTATGTTATTCGTGTTCAAAATGTTAGGCTGACATGTTGCAGCCAAGAATGTCGGATGATGTTATTGGAACAACATGTTGGCTTTCGTTTGAACAGGCGTTAACACTAATATAATCCCACCCTAATGCGTTATCTAATCCTAGTTCTAAAAATCTAAAAGTAACAACAGCCCCTAAATCGTGACTGATATGGTACTTAGATCCTGCATAGAGTACCTGCCAAAAAACAACATTTTAAATTTAGAGTTTAATTCGGTCAAGTAGTTGTGTATCTTCCATTCGCCGAAATTCCTGCTTCTATATAAGACAATTGTCAGTTCCAATGTACAGTATTTTTTTTTCCGAGAAATTATTCATGAAGACCATGCATTGATTCCTGGGTAAGTGTAACATATTTTTTGAAATACTTTTTTGTTATTTAACCCTATTTGTACCGGGGGTGCGCACAATGAGCGCACCCCTATAAATATTTATCCGTCACTCCTGAACAAATGATCTGATTTGCCTGTCCTTTCATGACTTTTAATATTTTCCCTCTGCCGTCATGACTGTGAAAAAATTTTTCTGAAAATTCAAAGTTATCCGGACGTTTGGCGACATTTGTAAAAGCAGGTGTCGGGGCCAAAAATGGGTAAATGTGGGTTGGACATTATTTTTTGGCTTCAATCACTTCCCAGGTCATAAATAACATAATATAATTAGAGAACATATAAATATGGATTATTACACATGATTTGCAAAGTAAAATATCCATAATATATTACATAAAATAGTAAAATATAGTACAACATATAATATAGCATACTATACAATACTTATAATTATATAATATAAAATACTTATTTATAATATTTTTATATATTCAAACACACATACATATTTCTTTGTATCTTCAAGGCATAACATCTCCCTGTCTTTCAGCAAGAATCAAACTTGTAGGATACATTATATATTGAACACTTTCGTACCAGAAATTCAGTTCCAAATGAGAGTAAAACATTTGCATACAATCCATAATGATTGCCATGATTTTCAAAGTAAATATTGTGTTTTCAAAACTATACTGCAGGCTCGTATCTCGTAGCTCACCTGCCTTACACTTCATGTAACACATAGTATATTGGTATAAAACATGGCTGCCATTTCGTATTTTTTCTACAAACATTTGTTGGTCGACATTTTATGTTTACACTGCAGAAGTTATGCCAAAAAAAGTGCTAGAGTTTCAACAGAATGCACAATTGTGCATGCTAAGAGAATAATGGAACATTATTTATACAACAATGACACTGTCACAAAGATATGAAGGTAAAATCAATGATGTTGAAACTTGAAAATGATTTGGATTGTTTATATGAGAGACTGGTAAGTTTCAGTTGTATGTCTTTTCATATGGCACAGAAATGCCAACTTGGAAAGTAAAATAGTGGTGTTTATGGACAACTGAGATATGCTGTAACATAAAAGTATGTCTTTTGAATGTAAAAGACCCAAAAAATATCACATCCAAAATGTTTTGTTATCTCTTTACAAAATATAACCAAAATGGGTAAAATATTAGCTATATTCGCCATTTTCGGATAGGCGGTCATATTCAATGGGGCCAAAAAACAGCATTTTGGATGTGAATTTAACTTTTTTGTTATATTTAGGTTAAAGAAAGATGAAACTTAGTAAAAATAAAACTTATAGGATAATAGCAGTTAATCGACAGAATTTCTGAGGGGTGCGCCCTATCAGCGCACCCCCGGTCATATCAACATGAAAACCCCCCGGTACAAATAGGGTTAATGACTGCGTATCCCCGTATCATTGAAAAATAATAGTTACCCATTCTCCTCTTAAACTACTCGAATAATTACGTCATTTTAATGACTGCGTATCCCCGTATCCCCGTATCATTGAAAAATAATAGTTACCCATTCTCCTCTTAAACTACTCGAATAATTACGTCATTTTAATGACTGCGTATCCCCGTATCATTGAAAAATAATAGTTACCCATTCTCCTTTTAAACTACTCAAATAATTACGTCATTTTAATGACTGCGTATCCCCGTATCCCCGTATCATTGAAAAATAATAGTTACCCATTCTCTTCTTAAACTACTCGAATAATTCCTCTTAAACTACTCGAATAATTACGACATTTTAATGAGTGCGTATCCCCGTATCCCCGTATCATTGAAAAATAATAGTTACCCATTCTCTTCTTAAACTACTCGAATAATTCCTCTTAAACTACTCAAATAATTACGTCATTTTAATGACTGCGTATCCCCGTATCCCCGTATCATTGAATAATAGTTACCCATTCTCCTCTTAAACTACTCGAATAATTACGTCATTTTAATGACTGCGTATCCCCGTATCCCCGTATCATTGAAAAATAATAGTTACCCATTCTCCTCTTAAACTACTCGAATAATTACGTCATTTTAATGACTGCGTATCCCCGTATCCCCCAAAAGCAAACACTATCAAAATTCAAAAGTGGCCGGGTATTCTATAATCGCTCCGTTATTTTTAATATACACCGCTCTGCATAGGTCTGCGAGCTTTATTTAGGTTAAACTTAAGGTTTGTTAATTAGCTGAGCATAAAGGATAACTAGGGAACATGCGGCTTGAAGGTTTTATCAACACTTGATGTATAATAATTAACTCTCCTGACGAAGGCCCATAGGTCGAAACGTCGAGAAATAGTTTTGTCTATTTTAGGCAGTTAAAGAACCATTCTATCCTGCAATTAACGGCATGGTTACCGTATATAACAAACGGCCACAATTATAAATACCAGCAACAGCCAATATTGAGCTGAATTAGATTAACAATACAGAATTAATCATATCTTACAGTCTTGAACGCTTTGACACAAATTATAATGACTGCGTAACAACGTGACAACGGACTGCGCTTCACACCACATTAGTCATTAAACAATACATTTCACAATTCACATGCAAGCAATTAATCTTGCAAGCCAAGTAAGGTTCTAGTTAATTTCATGAATCAAAACATCGTCAAACAAATTATCATGCTCACGTGATATACCTTAGCCTGGGAGTGAAAATATTTTTGTGAAAAAATCTTGCTGTCGAAAATGTGAGGTGTTGGATTTTTTAAATTTTCGTATGTAAATTATAGTGTAGAGCGACGCCACATCCTATTGGATAGTTATTTCAACCAACTAGTACATGTAAATAACATGACACAGAGAACTCTTCATATAACTAAAGACGAGTTTACACAAAATAGTTAAACTTAGGCTTAACACTTACCTCAACCTTCGATTCGCTGCCCTTGCAAGCTCTTACATCTTTTACCTCAACCAACGTTTGGCCTTTTTGACTAACCGGACTGGTTTCTTCAACTTTTTCTTCAATCATACTCCAAACTTTTAACAAAAATGTTTGCTCATCACGTTTAAGATACCACATCTTGTTTTTCACTCTCTATTCGGGCTTCACTTTGTTATTCGTCAAGAGCAAACTTGCAATGAGTAATACAACACTGGGTGATCGCATCTATATTACCAACCACACACAGTTACCAAAAGTAACATGTAATTCAAGACTATACTGTATAACTATATAAGGCTATATATAGCGTTTCGGACTCCGGATGTTTTGTTGGGATCATAAAACAAAATCGATATGTTCGTTGATTCTGCTTTCCGGAAAGAAACCAAGCGAAAAAAGTGATTGTATTTAAATCTGTGGAAATTAAGAATAAAGTGCAAACGATTTTGTTATTACATTTACAATATTCAACTATTACATTCAACTAATACAACGATACCGTATATTTACCATATATATACAGTCGTTAATACCTCACGAGATCACGCACGCCTTAAGGCCCTTACAGACGAGCAAATTTTTTTGTGACACATTTTCTATGACAAATTTTATTTGCTCGTCTGTATACAATCATTTGTCAAATTTTTCTATGACAAATGCATTTGTTGAAAAGCTAGCTTTTCAACAAATGCATTTGTCATAGAACTACATTTGTCATAGAAAATTTGCGCGTCTGTAAGGGGCTTTAAAGTGCGCCAATTTTAGTTAATGGTTAAGCAAAAACAAGACTAATAGCGAACTTAAAGGCATTTGGTATTTATTCAACAGTTCTTACACAGACTGTTTTATAAAACTTATCAGGGTATCAAGAGAAGCTCTTTTCTCCGGTTTTCCTTCCGTAGCAACTTTCACAACATGCTCAAGTTTTTTGTCACATCTGTAGTTCATTTTCTGAAGCAAAATTCCATAGGAAAACACATCACTGGCGATCGACTTGGACCGTGACATGTTTACTATTTCTGGAGCAATATGCGGATACCGTGTCCTGTATGCATCTCGTTCATGAGAGGGGATCCGTTTAACTCTTGCGTTTCGGATATAACAACTTTTACCCAAATCAATTATGACAGCACATGGTTGATCGTTGACAATTTCAACCACTACATTGTTGGTCTTGAGATCATTATGCAAAATGCTGTTGTTGTGCATATGCATTAAAGCTTTGGCACATTCTAAAGCAAGTTTTATAAAGTCATTCGCTGAATACTGACATTGTTTTTGCGAAAGCAAATAATATAAGGTATTCTTCGTGTTTTTTCTGCTACCATGGAATTTAGTTACTATGTATGGTACCGGTTCCTTTTTATGACTGATTCCAAACAAAATAGCAAGATTTGGATGACCCTGCAATTTGCGAATAAACTCTGCCTCCCTAACAACATCTTCGTAAGATGACTGACGACAGTACTTAACGCAAACTTCGATGTTTCTGTAGCTTCTTAAAAAGCAGTCTCCAAATGTGCCGCTACCTATGCCTTTACTATATGCCTTGCTCTCAGGATCAGAAATTAATTGATCTTGCGCGATAACTGGTATATTAAGACTCGCAGTCTTTGAGATTTCCGCGCACAATGTGGCTTCAGATGTTTTTGCGTGTCTGTGCAAAAGTGTTCTTTTATGTTTTTCTGAATCAAGCAGATTCCTTGCTTCCTTTAACTTGCTAAATGTGCGATCTTTTTCTTTACGTACTAAGTCAAGCTCAGATTTCAGTTGAATTTCCCGTTCATTGGCATGTTGTTTCTGTATGAGGGATTTAGCTTCCAGTACAGCGTGTTCAATCTCTTTCTGTTCATATCTGTCACCTACTTGATCTAACTCATTTCGTATTGCGGAATTTTGTTGTTTTTCTTTATCTAGATCAGATCTTAGCTGCCCTGTTAACTTCTGTAATGTATCTAAAGACGAATTATTTTCAAGACATTTTGCACACTGATCGTCTTGAAGATGTGGCACGTCAATAAATTGATTATCATTATAACCCGCTCTTTTCTTTATCCCTTTGTAAAAATAGTTTGTTCCACTATGATGCCTTTTCCTTTGACTGCTTGGGAAGGCATATTTGACTATTCTGCCAGTTTCTTCCTTGGTGACACCTTGAAACTCATTCTGAACCACCTCCCGTATCTCACTGACGCAAACTTTTTCATTTTCAGCTTCTTCGTATAGTTGTTGTAGCCTGTTGCAAAATTCATCGTGAAGTAGAATTATTAAAGAATGAATATATTTCTGTCTGACTGCTAACACAGTAATTGAAGTTATAACAGTCTTCTTAATTTTAATTACATTATCACATACATACCAATTAGCTCGAGAGTGTCTCAAGTCTGCATTGGTGAATATTCTTTTTGCCATTTCCAGTTATCATCATTTGTATGCGCTCAGAACTGAGACTTAATAAACCGACTGGAAAAGTCTTTTGTGCAAAATGCAAAGTGCAAAGTGCAAAATTATGTCATGCAGAACTGAGAATTTCCGTCCGGATATGTGTCATCAACGCTGCAGTATAATCGAGGCTTTGAGTGCATAATGCGAAATTGTCTGTTTTGGTCAGAGTGTGACCATGTCGTCCACAAGCAGCGATTCCGACGAATTGCCAGGTTTTATAAACCGCGAGGATGGAAAAAGCAAAGAGAATACTACAATTAGTGAAATCTCCAATTCAGACAGTTGCGCGGAAACATCAAAAATGGATGAGTCAAGTAAGATCCAGAAAAACTATGATGCAAAGAGCAATGAAGATAGCAATTCGGAAATCGAAGGATTTCTTTGCGACCAAATATATGAGTACACATGTAAAGCGATTGACCAGAATAAAACATTACAAATTCATGGAAATAATGAGACGTTTCAAAACAGCGATTGCGAAACGAGGTTTCCCACTGGGTATCTTAATATATCATCTGACAGTCATGATTCCATTAAGAATCTGAATTCCTCGCGGTCAAATGATGATGCGGACGAACCACCTACAAAACGTGGTAAGAATTAGTTTATGATCATTTTGTGAAATACGTTTAGTTTTTCTAGGCATAGATGGATGCTAAGCGATTTGGATATTAAAATGGTGTATCAATATATTTTGATTATTATGTTTTGATTAAGGCAAGAAGCGCTCAACGATACGTCAACCTTCGGAGCTAGTTAACCAAAGATGCTGCAGAGAAGAATGTTTGATAATTAAGCTAACAATACAGCAAATTGAATTTAGCAGGACAAATTTTGTAACTCGTTTCCCTACTTATGAAGAACAACGACAATTTCTAATCGATTGGTTTACCACTCACGAGTATACGCCAGGAGAGTTTTCATATGAAATTTCTGGTATACCTACCTGCTGTACAGCATGGAGAAACGTACTTGGTATAACACGGCGAACTTTCCACAGACTTAAGACAGAATTCAAACATGGTCTTCGTGTAGCTGACCATGGGGCAACAGGAACGTTGAAACACAGTTTAAAGTATGAATACGTTAGCCTTTTCCTTGAAAATTATGTAATGGAAAATGGAGAAAATATGCCCAACAATCGTTTCGTTCACCTGTCTTCGTCAATTACTTGGCGAGACATATATTCAGAAATGGTTCAAACTCTCACAGCTCAAGGAAAAGAAGTTTGCTCAGAGAATTACTTTAATCAAATCAGAAAACGGGAGTTCAGCCATGTTAAAATTCCAAAAGTAAGTGCGATGTATTTCAGTATAGAACTTATGCACTAGTCAATTGAAACCCCGGCCCCCCGGGATAGGCCGGGATTTAACAGGAATTTGCGGGGGAAATACAGCGTTTTAACTAAGCATCCTTTTTGGATACCCGGGGTTTAACACTGATATAAAAGCCGGGGTATAATAGCCGGGGTTTAACACCGTGAGAAAAAGGCCGGGGTAGAATTGCCGGGATTTAAGACACGCGTCCACGCTTGATTTCTTCTTGAATTCTCTTGGGCAGCATAGCTGCCGATCTCTTCCACAGCATGCCAAGTGAAGTACGCGCGAAATTATACAAGTGTGATTGTACGAATATTGCAGATACTTTGTCTATGGCCGTTTGTGTATTTGTTTTTCTTGTTCATTACGTCTACAGTATTTAATACGCCGAATTAAAATGTATATGTTGTGCTTAATATTTCTTGGTTTCATGCAATATTTTATGGCTTGGTACAATTAGAAAGAATTTCGACCCGGCTAGCCGGGTAGTTTAACAATTGAGCAACATTTTTAAGCCGGGATTTTAACACTTGTGAAATGTTAAAATTCCGGCCTATCCCCGGGGGGCCGGGGTTTCAATTGACTAGTGCATTAGGTGCAGAATTAAAAGATTTTAAAAAAATTTCAAAAGAATGTAAAGTAACATGAAGTTTCTTACATCCGAATGATAGAACTACTACCATTCATTGTATAATATATAAGGATGACTTTGTCCACTTCTTAACAAATGTTTCTTTAGGAAAACCGGATGGGTAAATGTGACTATTGCACGAAAATAAAAGACGAACTGAAAAAAACACGCGAGACAAGGGAGAGGGAGCAAATATTGCAAAAACGAAAGCAACACAAAGAGTTAATGAGGTAAGCTATTTTCGTGGACTCCACGCGTGTACAAAATGATCATGAAGTAATTCGGCAACAATTCGTGGTCTCCGTGCGTGTATATAGAATAATGATGAGGGACGTATGAATTCATGCAAAGGCGCAAACGTGTACAGGGCACCGCACGTACAGGGGTGTACGTGCGCATGATTGGGCGGACGTCTACGACGACAAAAATGCAAAATTTCCTGAGATGATGAGATCTGATTGGTTTTCAATTATCCGGTATATAAAATAAGGCCGTCAGGTAGACAATCATTATAACATACCGTTTACAGTTTTCACAAAGGAAAAACGACTGATTTTCTTGAACTATATAGCTTTTACGGAAAGTAATTTATGCATACAAGTAACAGTTACAAATCCACTATACAGTACAGGCCATTTTAATTCACTAATTTGCTGTCGGTATTTAATGGCTTATTGCTCTCATTATTCTTTATCAAACTAATTGAAATTTTGCAATTATGCTTAGTTATGAGAACTAAGTCAGTAGAAATTTGGAACCGAAATAAAGAGATATTTAGTTGTTTCAATAAAAAAAATGGATTTCTATTTGAAAACTAGTTCCAGTCCTTTTCTGTGTTTTCAGATGCCTTCAGTAATGGTAATATGGAGACTAGCTTTAGACTTTAGTGAAATCAAATTACTTCAAATATATTAATTTGATTTTAACCCCCCCTTTCATTCAATTACCATGAAAAATTCAATACCCCCCCCCCTATTAGCTTTTGATTTATACCTATGACCCTACCTTTTTCCAGCCCCCCTTTTATACATAATGACCGGTCCCTATAAACATGGGTTTTTAGTACGGATTTTTTTAACAAAATTGTACGACGATTTATACTTTTTATTATTTTTTTTCTTTTATTAATATTATATTACCAGAGCGGAGCGAAAATGCTACCACGAAAGAGCTGCTAAAGGACACCAGTCACCACATCAATTTTTCTCCATGGCAATTGATGGAATGGATCAAAACAAGACCGAGCTACCGTACTCAAAACTTTGCTACAAAGGTATTGATGGAGCGACAAAATTGAGGGTGCATATTGTTGCATCTATGATTCATGGGAGACCACCCTTACTGTTTTTGGATTGGCGCCAGTTCAGGCACGACAGCAATCTAACGATGAATATTATACTGCAGGTAGGGCTGAATATAGAGAATAATACATGGTGCGCGGAAATACCAGATTTATCTCGAGTGTTGAACATGATATCTCAAGAGTAAGCGCTGCGAACGAGCATAGTCTTTCGAGACATGGTCTGGAAACACGGTAAACTTCAAAGCGGTTATAATGAGCTAGGATTTTATGTTGAGCCGTACCTTACACCGTGCACATCCTTTGTTTTAGGTTTATTTATATTCAAATAGCATGGTTGAATGACTGAACTGAAACGTTGCTATTGGATGATTCGTTCATTATACTGAAATACAATGTGTTCATTGACCGTGCACCGTGCACAAAACTGCATAAACACGAACAAAAAGATAGAACAAAGACGGAGTTTCCAAACCATGTTTTGAAAGACTATGGAACGAGTGAGATATCATGTTCAACACGAGAAATAAAACTAGTATTTACAAGCATCCATGTATTTTTCTGTTTATTATATAAAGGACAGCCTTTAAAAAGCGATAATTTTTACAGAAAAGCGGTAATTGAAAAGAGATCATTTTCACATGTGAAATTATCATGAATAATCTCACATGTGAAATTATCACTTTTCTCAGTGCTCAAAATCTCTATAAAGCACTATACTTTTATTTGGATCGCTATTATAATTGGAGTCTTGTTTATTTTTAAAGCATGCACAAGACAGCATAATCAATTGATAGTATTATGACTTCACGAGTATTCGCAATTATTCCAATAGGTCTTGTGGACAAATAGAGAACTCTTAGCTGATGAGATCTATTTACAACTGGATAATACAGCGAAGGAAAACAAGAATCAATTTGTTTTTTCTTTCATAGCTTTTTTGGTAAAAGCTAAAGTTTGCAAAAGGGTTTGTATTACTATATAGTTTTAGAGCATCCCTCTCTGTCGCAGTTCAACTGAGTTTGCACTTTCATAAGTGTAAAGTTCGCTTGTTTCATCCTAGCGTGCATTTCATAGAAACAGCTACACTGTATGTCCTCGAGCGTAGGCAAATATTTTGCAGCTAACAGAATTTTGTCACATACTGTATGTAAGTTACAGTATACTCTTCAGACTGAAAACGCTATACTGCATTTGGAATTTCTGAAAATTATTGATTTATATTCTACCCGAAGCCGTGCGCGTACACGCAATAAAACTATTAATGCTGCATGTTATTCATATTATCTTATGCAGCGACTTGCATTATTTCCTAACTTATTTTGGCATTGAATCATACTAAGATCCGGCATTCAGGGGAAAGAAACGTGCGAAACATTAATTAAACTGTATAAACATAATTGAATTTATTCAACGTCCAGCTTTTTTGACAAAACCGGGTTGCATGAATGTTGATTCAATAGTTTGTGGAGCCACTAAGTTTAAAGTTGTCTTCCTCTGAAATTGTTGGGAAAACAAATTCTTCCTCGGAGCAAAAATCATAGTTAATTATTGTGGTTTTCTATTATTAGTTTGAAGTGTGCTTTCTTAAGCCTGGACATACACATTTGGACGCTGATCAGCTATTTTCTCGTTTGTCAGTTGCAATTGCAAGTTTGGGTTGTTTGACTTT